CTCGGGTCTCTTATTTATATTACGTCCCCCAAAAAGGCCACGCCTGTTTTGGGGGACTCGCTGTCTTCTTTTACCCCCGTTTAGTTTGGCGGGGGAGACAGCCATCGATGAACCCTCGCTGTAGGGGCGCGCTGGCCGTTCGGCCAGGCAGCGGTACGCGGCCGGCGGCTTTCTCCGCGACCAGGCATGCGGTACATCTGGCAGTGATAAAAAATAAAGAAACAAAGGAATTTCCGGTTCTTGCAAACGTCAAGGACGTTTTCTCTCCGTCGACCCCTTGACATCTGCAAGCGGACAGTTTTATGGTTATTACGGTCGCCGACCGTGTGCCGCTACATTTGTAATCCGTGATTGCGGTGGTAAATCGACCGCTTGAACTGGCAATTGCAACTTTTGCGAAGCTACTGTTAATTCTCCCTAATTGGCGCTCAGATTGTATAGAGGATGCGATGGAATAGACGTCGGCTAGTTCGCGAAACTTCTTGCCCTTGTGGCGGCGCCGCGATGATGAAACGGACATCGGCTTGTTCACAAAAACCTACCCTATCTAGCGGCGCTGTACCATCATCATACCGATGATGGCATAGGCGTCGACTAGTCCACGCAATTCTCTTACCAAAAACTCCAAAATCACAACCGATCTCCGGCCATGGAAAGCTGCCTCAGCTTTGTAATATCAACAACTATAAAAACGAGAGGCTCGAATAATCGTACCAACTCTTCTCAAACGATCCAGTTTCGTGTAGAATCTGAGCGTCAATTAGGGAGAATTTACTGTATTAATTACACTTCTCACTGTTTTCCATGTTTCGGAAACAAACGGTATTACAATAATGTTTCCCTAACCGACGCTCAGATTAAGCATGAAAATGGACAATTTGGGAAGAGGAGACTCGATTATACGAGCCTTGTCGCTCGTTTGTTATAGTCGCCGACTGCCAAAAACTATAAAAATGAGCAACGAGGCTCGAATAATCGTACCACCTCTTCCAAAATTGTCCGCTTTTGTGCGTAATCTGAGCGTCAATTTGAGAGACATTACTGTATTATCTTAATTATTGCAGATTCATCGGAAGACCTGGTGTTCGAATGGGTGACAACGGAATGGTCGAAGTGCTCTCAGACCTGCGGAAGAGGTGGATTTCAGGTGATTAGCAGTTTAACACTGTGAAACGTGACTAACATATATTGTTTTATAACAGTGGCAAGATTGAATTCGTTTAAACTTCGTTAGGATTTCTATTAGAATAAATGCTTGAATAAAGTTTATCTAGAAATTTCTCATGGAAGCTTCTTTTATAATATTAGGAATTGTAAGAATACATTCTTGCATTATACATTCTTGCATTATATAATAATTCTTGTATCATAAGAATACAGTGCTTGCACGAATTATAAAAATACATTTGGCATTGCTCGACGCACTTCTGACTGCAAATAATGAAGCCATAGCGTACGTAGCATGATAATTAGGTCAAATCGGTGACTTTCGTTCTCCAAATTGTTTTAATATCTCCATGTTGAATATACGCCGCTTTTAACGAATCATTTGAACAATTAAGATTGACGATGAAAAAGTTGTCGCAGTGAACGAGTTAAAAGTGCTACACAATATAATCGGTTAGATAATCAATTACATAATCTATTAGTTATTATAATTAATACCAAAGCTATCAAACATCGCTGATATCATACCTTATCATCCTCGAATACTATATCTTTTTTTTATAATAACGACAGGGATGATTTTCTTTCCTTTATATTTGACTACACACAATGTTTATTATTATCTTTATTACATATTTGACCATTTATTAAATCACTTCCTATGCATCTGGTCTATCTCGTTGTTCCATCACGTTGTTAAAAATATATTTGTACGGTTTGAAAAACGCGTTCATTTTCTGTTAATTATTATAATTAATACCAAAGCTATCAAACATCACTGATATCATACCTTATCATCCTCGAATACTATATCTTCTTTTTATAATAACAACAAGGATGATTTTCTTTCCTTTTAATTTGACTACATACAATATTTATTATTATCTTTATTACATATTTTACCATTTATTAAATCACTTTCTACGCATCTGGTCCATCTCGTTGTTCCATCGCGTTGTTAAAAATATATTTGTACGGTTTGAAAAACGCGTTCGTTTTCCTAAAGATACGCGGAGCTCAGTGCACGGTGCGATCGGGTAAACCAGCTGGAAACTCGACGCGGTCGCAGTCGAGGGTGGTGATAGGAGACAAACTCTGCGAAGACGCGGGTCACCCGATGGTCCAGAAGGTGCGGTCTTGCGGCTCCGGCGAGTGTCCTCAATGGCACACCACCGAGTGGACACCATGCCAGACGTCCAGATGCTTCAATTGGAAGACCGCGATGCAGAGACGCGACGTTACCTGCCGTTTGGACGAGGACGGGGAGACCGATCAACAGAACGTCACTCTGCTCGACCCCAGCAAATGCGACGAGACCACCAGGCCCCTGCAGAGGCAAGAGTGCTACAACGACGCGTGCAAAGGCGTATGGAGGGTCGGCGAATGGTCGGAGGTGCGTTTCCACGTGTCCTTGATTTGCTAATATAATATACAGGGTGTCCAAAAATGTCTCGCAATCCGAAAGTGGCGGATTCCTCGGGTCATTTGAAGCAACTTTTTCCTTTACAAAAATTTTCTCCGAGGCACCGTTAACGAGTTATTAACGAAAAACAGTGACCAATGAGAGGCGGGCTCGGCTGGCGCGAGGCGACCGAGCCAATGAGCGGAACTGGGCTCCGCGCGCTGGTTGGCTGGGCCGCCATGCGCCAAATAAGCGCGCCTCTCATTGGTCAATGTTTTTCGTTAATAACTCGTTAACGGTGCCTCGGAGAAAATTTTTGTAAAGGAAGAAATTGTTTCAAATGATCTGAGGAATCTGCTATTTCCGAATTGCGAGACATTTTTGGGACACCCTGTATAGATGACGGCTACAATATAACAAATATACTGTCTACTCCTGGTTACGGTTGATGTTATGGTTTTTCGTTAATACTTTTCTAATAATATCTTTTCGGTGATTGAATTTTCTGTTTTTATTCGAACGGTAATCGATTTTCCACAGTGTATGGCACCGTGCGAGAAAGACGGGATTAAGTACAGAATCCTGCGGTGCGTTTGGTTCGGGACGAAGAAACCAGCTGGCAATGCGTGCAGAGACATCCCACGACCTCCTGTCATGAAAACGTGCAAAAGTCCGCCGTGTTCTCATACACCCGGTGAGATGATGATCTTCGGCGAACATTTTGACTAAAATGGCAATTATAAAGATGGCGATTTAGTCGCGGTTCTATTCGGCAATTCGATACAACTACAGTCAATTCTCTCTAATTGTACAGCTCAGATTTCTCCCTAATTCGCGCTCATTTTTATATCGATTTCATTATCGGACGATATTTTTTACCGATTTTTATAGATTTTATAATATATCTTTCTGTGTGTATTATATTTTTTTATCGAGAACATTTGTTTTTAAATCTTTTTTAAACACATTGTTTTCTACGGACCTTAAGGAAACGTGTGCGAAAATTGAAACGAATCGGTCTGAAACTAAATAATCGAATAACGACATTTATGGCTCTGAAAGCATTTCGCTAAATAATGTCATAGAAATACAATAAATTCTCCCCCTAATTGACGCTCGGATTGTGCACAAAGGCACACTTTTTAAATTTTCGTTATAGGCTCAGATAGAAAAGTTAAAAAACGACAGTCTTTTATTTTATTTTGTCATTCTAAGCAATAGCAAAATTTAAAGAAAAAGCATTCTAGTTATAGTTCACTCTATATAGTTCTCATACTCTATACAGTAATATCTCTCTAATTGACGCTCAGATTGTCCACAAAAGTGGACGAATTGTCAACAACTATAAAAATGAGCTGCAAGACTGGAGTAATCGTATCTTCTCTTCTCAAATTGTCCATTCTTGTACGCAATTAGGGAGACATTACTGTAGATCTATTTATAGTCTAGTAGACTGGCCCCTCTATCATCTAAAACAAGATTCAAGTCGTTCAGTCCAATTCTAAAAAGAAGTTATCGCGTTTTAAAAACATCCGAATATTAACGGAAGTCGCTGTATTTGTTTGCTAAATTCTTAAAGCCGGTACTATTCGCTGTTAGGACACCGTTCCATTGCGTTATCACTTTCCCCTGTATCAAAACACCCTCTCTCTCGCGAAGCGTCGATCGACTTATAGAACGCATTTGAAAACACATTCGAAATCGTTCCAGACGACTGCAAGGACCATCCCCAGCTGTGCACCAGGGAAAGATCGTTGACCTTGTGCAAGATGCGGCTGTACCGGCTCCAGTGCTGTCGGTCCTGTCAGCTGGAAGGGAGCCCGGAATCGGACAAGCCCGAGAAGAGTCGCTAGAAAATTATTGTTGTAAACGGAAGGGATAAACGTTAGGTCGAAATGTTGACGCGGTGCGAGACGAGCGTTATAAAGAGCATGGATCGAACGTGTCCGAGGATTCAAGTGTTCGCGGAGAGAACGCGATGGTTGGCGGGAGGGGTTGAAACCGAGTCGAATCAGACCGCCCCCCTTCCCCACACCCTATCTTGCGTTCCCAATCTTCGAACACGTTCGTCGGACACTTTCACGATATGCGCGAGTTATTCGAGAATTCGACCAAATTACTCCCGCGCTGCTAATTGTCCCCTCCTCCCCCCCCCTCCCGCTCCCCCGCCCCGAGAAAACCACCACTACTACCCCTCGCACACGAAGCGTATTCAGCGCGCCGGATTCTTTCCCGGGCCCCAATAAGAATATGATTCCTAATTGTGTGCTAATTAAAGCTATAATTTCCGAACGTGTGTAACGCGTTAGTCTGGCACCGATCCTAATTGCGCACGCTCACGCCGCCCCTCGAGGCGGGGGAGGGACCAGAGGGAGTCCTGGCATTCGTCCAAAAGAGAGAGAGAGAGAGAGAGAGAGAGAGACCGAGAGACCGAGAGGGAGAGAAAGAGAGAGAGAGAGAGAGAAAGAGATTGAGAAAAGAGAGATACAAAGTTGAGAGATTATATTGTTGAAGTTCGACGAGAACGGATATAGTAGAAAGCGTAATTGTACGGTGAAAAGACGAGCTTCTGAAGGCTATTCAAGTGTTAGAGACGAGACTATTGACGGGGTGCTGGGGCGAACGGAACATACACGTACACGTACACACTCACACACACACACACACACACACACACACACACACACACATAGAGTAAATGCGGTAATATGGAACATCGTAAAATCTCGATGAAAAGGTAACGAGCTCTAGAGGCAATTATTATTGTTATATATGTATAGTAAATTCTCCCTAATTGACGCTCAGTTTGTAAAGAAAATTGGACAATTTAAGAGGAGAAAATACGATTATGTATTTATAGTTACAGATCGCCGACAACTATAAAAACGAGAGCCGCGAGGCTCGAGTAATCGTATCCACTCTTCCCAAATCGTCCATTTTTGTGCGCAATCTGAGCGTCAATTAGGGAGAATTTATTGTATTAGGTCTACCGGAAAGTTCTGTCCGTTTTTGAATTGAAATATAACACAATTTTCATACAGTTAATAATATTTATTGTAGAATATACTTTCCATCGTTACTTATGACTTCTTGCCAGCGCGATGGCAACTTGTAAATGCCATTTTTAAAAAATGATTTATTTTTAGAGGCGAAGAACTCAACTGGTGCTTGGTTGACATCAGCTTCAGTTTTGAATTTTTTTCCTGTAAACAGTTTTGCAAAGAGAGAAACAAGTGATAATCGGAGGGTGCTAGGTCTGGGGAGTATGGCGGATGCGACAGAATTTCCCAGCCTAGCTCTGCGATTTTCTGACGAGTCGCCGAAGCAGCATGTGGCCTGGCATTATCATCGGTAGCCATGTTTTCACGATCGCGTCTCACTTAACAATGACATGAGACATCTTTGTTTCAGTTTATTTAGGAGAGTACATGCATGTAAATGCAATGATAAAGGGAGATAGTCATATATGTCTCAAATCAACATGTGCATACGGATTGAAACTTGAAGTGACACTATCGGA